AGCACGTCCTTACTGAGCACATGCAATGGTTTGGGTCAAAATAAGAATTTTAAAGCAACAGGACATTTTATCACTTATCTGGCAACGCTTGTGTGTGTTTACTGAAATTTGGATGGGTGGATTTTAATAAAACTTTCAGGTGATAATCATTGAAAGAACTCGCTCTGCATGCACTTTGAGCACAACATGGATATTGAATATCATGCATGAGTTATGCATGATATTCTCAAGGTTTGACCAAAATGGCTACAACGCTGAGCACAAGATGACTTTAGTCTACAACTGGTGGCGAGCAATATGCATTCTCTTAAAGAGTGGTGGGGCTTTAACTTTTGTCAGCTTTTTATTTATTTATTTATTTGTTTGTTTTTAAACAAACTGGCCTTGAGAGAGCGACCTTGGTGTTTGACCTTGCCTCCAACTCCAACTTGTTGGTGTCAGCTGATGCTTATCAGGATACAGAAACCATGAAGTTGATGTTAAAACAAAAATGACATTTGCTGCACAGACAAATGTACAAAAACCGCGATTTAAATGATTCTCAGCTACTATAAATTCAAAATTAATCTAAATATCAATGAAATTAACCCAAGTTTCTGCTATTTTTGTGTTAACTAAGGTTGATTAGCGGTGGCAGCCATCTTGAATTGGATCAGCTTCAGAAGTTAATTACTGGTAGTTGTGGATGTACATCCAATGACTTTTTGAAAGTTTCATTAATGTCTACTACCAAATCCAATTTTAGGTCAGTACCTATGAAATTAACTGATTTATAGCTCTACTTGTAGTTGCTAATGTTGCATTATGTTGCAGAGAGTGAAGTGCTGATTATCATCAGACTGGAAAATGTTACAAAACTATCTCTAAAGAGTTTGGACTCCACCAATCCACAGTCAGATTTTGTACAAATGGAGGAAATTCAAGACCATTGTTATCCTCCCCAGGAGTGGTGGACCAACAAAGATCACTCCAAGTGCAAGGCGTGTAATAGTCGGCGAGGTCACAACGGACCCCAGGGTAAGAGGAGGAGAAGCCGCTGCGCTCCAAAAAGGAACATTGCTGCTCGTCTGCAGTTTGCTAAACGTAGACAAACCAGAAGGCATGTTGGAAGAATGTTTTGTGGATGGATGAGACCAAAATAGACATTTTTGGTTTAAATGAAAAGTGTTATGTTTGGAGAAAGGAAAACTCTGCATTCCTGCATAAGACCCTTCTCCCATCTGTGAAACATGATGGTGGGGCCTGTTTTACTGCATCTGGGCCAAGACGGTTCCCCGTCATTGATGGAACAATTAATTCTGAATTATATCAGAGGATTCTAAAGGACAATGTCAGGACATCTGTCCATGAACTGAATCTCAAGAGAAGGTGGGTCATGCAGCGAGACAATGACTCTAAACACACGAGTGGTTCTACCAAAGAATGAATCAAGAAGAATAAAGTTCATGTTTTGGAATGGCCAAGTCAAAGTCCTGACCTTCATCCAATCCAGATGTTGTAGAAGGACCTGAAGCAGCAGTTAATGTGAGGAAACCACCAACATCCAGAGCTGAAGCTGTTCTGTACAGAGGAATGAGATTAAATTCCTCCAAGTCATTGTGCAGGACTGATCAACAGTTACTGGAAAAGTTTAGTTGCAGTTATTGCTGCACAGCAGGGGTCACACCAGATACTGAAAGAAAAGGTTCACATACTTTTGTTTCTCACAAATATGTGATATTGGATCATTTGCCTCATTAAATAAATGACCAAGTTTAATATTTTTGTCTCATTTGTTTAACTGGGTTCTCTTTATCTACTGTTAGGAGTTATGTGAAAATCTGATGATACTTTATGTCATATTTGTGCAGAAATAGAGATGCACAACATTGGATTTTTGGCAGATATCTAATATACCAATATGTTAAAACTTATTTGGCAGATAACCAATACCAATACTGATATTTTTTCCCTAAACATACTTACAGAGACTACACAGCTTTCTCTGCTGTGGAATTAAAATACTACATTATTCTGTATGGTCTTTGTCTATTTGAACTGCTACCAAACATAGATGCCAAAAAGGGGTCTGAAAATGTAACATTTCAACTTGGATTATGTTTAATGTCAAATTTATTCATGACATTTACTCTCTTTAACACAAACACAACACTCAGTGCAAATTTGTTAATTTTCACAAATATAAACTCAACCTGTTCACAAGCAAAGTGAAAAGTGCATCAGTAGTAGTGCATTAATAGATATACTTGACAGTTTCTTAAATTAAAAATGATCAACTCAAATCTCCTTGTCACTGGGTTGTCATACAAAAACTACGCCTTTTATATATATACCCGTATATAAAACAGCTCCTTTTATATTGCCGAGTTATTTTGAGGGAATGGCCGACGTCCGATATTTAACTTTATCGCTAATATCGGCCGATACCAAAACAATGCCGTGTCGTTAATATCGTGCACCCCTATGCAGAAATACAGAAAATTATAAAATGTTCACAAACTTTCAAGCACCACTGTACACAGTGTAACTCCCATCCACTTTTAATATCTTCTTCTTCTTTCGGCTGCTTGCTTTTTCAGGGGTCACCACAGTAAACTAACTCGCACAAAGATTTGGCACTTGTTTTTTATGCCGAGTGCCCTTTCAGACGCAACCACAGACCACCAAGCTACCACAGCCCCCTCTGTGGAGCAAAGAGCTGCACCCGGGCGGAGCAGATGGTGGGGGTTAAGGGCCTTGCTCATGGGCCCAGAGTGGGGAAAATGAGAGTGGAGGCAGGTGTGGGTGCTTCACATTTCCCACTCACATTCCCACCACCACAACTGGCAACCTTTGGATCACAGCCCCACCTACACCTACCCTCTTTAATATATTTTACCGAAAACATTCAGGTGTACTTGCGTTCCCTGTTCTATTTCAGTACAAAAAAACACTCGTTTCAAAAACTACAAACATTTACTATTCAAATCCCTCAACGACGAGGAACTTTGTCATACCTTGTTCATTTTATGTGAGGACCTAATTTATTTTAAAAGAGCTGGTATTGATCATACAGCCAAAAGTGTTTGTAATAAACATCATGTCAGCAGATTTGTTTTCCTTCATTTACTCATATATGATGTGAAATGTGACTAATTTAGTTTTGGGTGACTTAATTACTCGTACACATTTTTTATTACCTGTAACAACGTAGTTTTACATCTCTGTTAAACAGGGCGACACTTTGTTTACCCTTTAGTCAACCTCTCACCAAAGGCCCACATGAAAATCATGTTCAGGTTTTAAATTTTAATTTTTTAAAATAAGTTATTTATTCTGCTGCCATCAAATCTGCTCCTGTCACCCGGAGCAGCTTTTCACACAGCTGCACACGACAGATCAAAGCTGTGTTAAAGTGCTTCAGCTCCACGCTCACATGTTCAGCATCACGTCAGGTTCAGAGCTGTGAGCGTGTAAAGATGAGCCGTTTGGGCTCCAGCTGTTCGGCTCCGTTCCAGATGTTCTGGGCAGTCAATGTCCCGTTCAAACAAGTGGTTTTGAAGTAAGGATGCACAATATTATCCGCATGGTATCAGTATTGGCCGATATTAGCATTAAAGTTAAATATCGACCATTCCATCAAAATAACTCACCGATATAAAAGATGCTGTTTTTGCATGACAACCCAGTGACAAGGATGCCTGCAGAGCCAGCACAACGTGATGACGTCATGCGCACCTATGTGATCTGATCACAGTGGAGAGGAAGAAGTCAAAATGTTGGCGGTGTGAAAGGGTTTTTTTTCCATTGAGGATATTGGATTTTGAATATTTTTGTACTACGTTGAGCCTCGCTACATCGTCCCCAGTTAGAGATATTTTTCTGATGTATCCTTACCCAAGTTACAAGCCATCATTCATTTCTGACGTCATTGAGAATAGCCGATAGCACTTGGGTGAGTTTTACCACAGACATTTGGACATCAAGTGTTAGCCCCATTAGCATGATTAGTCTTATGGCACAGGAGTGCAGAGGATCCCACACTGCGGCTAGGAACCTGAAACTAGCCTCCACAAGTGAGACAGCATCGCAGGTGACTAATGTTAAAAAATAACATTTAACACTTTTCATTTAATATAAGTTAAAGTGCTATGCATATCATATGGCTGTTACTGAATATATGTCACCAGCTCTTACAGCTGTTACACAATTTTTGTAGCAAATAAGCCTAAATAAGAAAGAGGGCTATGTTCTGACAAAGGAAAGTATGTAAAATATCGATATCGGTTATCGGCCAAATAAGTTTTACCATATCAGCATATTGGATGTCGACCAAAAATCCAGTATCGTGCATCCCCAGTTTGAAGCATTCTGCTTCGCGTGTTTGCATTTCGCTGTGGTGCCACACTGCAGATTATGCTGGAAGCTGAAGACTCCTCTTTTCAGACCTGCATTCTACTTTTTATGTATTTATCTGATTTGTTTAGTTTTGCCTTTATTTGTAATCCTTTGTGATTTACTTTGAAAGATGATCAACTGTTTGAGTCAACCACTTTCACGGTCAAGCATGAGTCTTGACTACTTCTACGTAACCCTAGAAAATAAAATAAAAACGTCTCTAACGCAGCCATCTTTCCAGATATTGATATAATATTTTGTGTGGTAATAGCTGAGAGTCATTCCTCACACTGAGCTCGTGAGATCTGTGTTTGATATTTTGTTGTTAACTCTTGGTTTCAGCCCTGCCTGTCTGTTAGCAAAATATCTCGTCATGAACCATTGTATGGATTATAATGAAACTCTCAGAAAGTAACCACTGGTTGTATTTCTACACCTGATTAACTTTTGGAGTTGCACCAATCTAAGATGGTTCATTACGTTAATTGGTTTTCAATTAACGTTCTGTGCTTTCTTCTCTGAGAGTTACTTAAAAGTATCAACTATAATGATGCATTTCAGAGTAATTCTAATGTTTTATTCTGATATATATATATATATATATATTTTGCTCTTCTCTTCAGACTTGTTGATGATAGATGTGTGGTTCAGCCCGATGCCGGAGACCTCAACAATCCTCCCAAAAAATTCAGAGGTGTGTAGGAGTTTAGTTGAATCATAAACACACGTGTTTTCAAACCATGTTTTGACGCTGTGTTAGTTTGGTAAAACATTCTGAGTGGGTAACGAGACGCTTCAGGCGGCCCGGTAAAAATGTGGTTTCACGACATTTTGCCTTTTGAGTGAAACTTTGCTCGTTGCCAGCGACTCTTCTGATGCTGACAGCATCTTGTTCTCTGCAGACTGCCTCTTCAAGGTGTGTCCCATGAACAGATATTCAGCCCAGAAGCAGTTCTGGAAGGCCAAACAAGGAAAACAAGGAAACAACAACACACAAGGGGAATTGTTTAAAAAGTTACAGGTATAACTCCTTTTCTTTTCCCAACTAAACAACCATCTGTACTCTTACATATTTTTTGTTATCCTTTAGTAGAATTACCAGTTTTTTTTTATTTGTTTTTTTTTTACTTTCAGCATGCTGCAGAGCTGGAGCAGAAGCAGAATGAAACGGAGAACAAGAAGCTCCTCGGGGAAATCGTCAACTACAGTAATGTCATTCAGGTAAGATGGAGCTCTTCATCAAACACCTACCGTTTACAGATGTCCACAGATGATATTCTTGTTTGTCTTTGTTTACGAAGCGCTTTGTTCCTTTCATTCAACCGCTGAAACCTCAGATTTATTTTAAAGATAAGCGATTGTTTGTTTGTGTGTGTATTTTATTTTTTTCACTCTCTGTGGTGGAAATGTACGACGGCGTATTGGGGCCACGTTAATGAAAACATTTACATTATGAGAAAAAAGTCATGAAATTATGAGAATAGTCATAGTATTTAGAGAATAAAGTTGTAATATTTAGGGAATAAAGTCGTAATATTTAGAGAATAAAGTCATAATGAGAATAATGTTGTAATATTTAGAGATTGAAGTTATGGTATTTAGAGAATAAAGTTGTAATATGTAGAGAATAAAGTCATAATAATGAGAATAATGTCATAATATTTAGAGAATAAAGTCGTAGTATTTAGAGAATAAAGTTGTAATAATGAGAATAAAGTCGTAATATTTAGAGATTAAAGTTATGGTATTTAGAGAATAAAGTCGTAATATTTAGAGAATAAAGTTGTAATAATGAGAATAACGTCATAATATTTAGAGAATAAAGTCGTAGTATTTAGAGAATAAAGTTGTAATCAGGGGAATAAAGTTGTAAAATCTAGAGAATAAAGCCAATGCTATGGGAATAAAGTCTTAATATTTAAAGAATAAAGTCGTAATAATATGAGAATACTTAGAGACTTTATTCTGGTAATTTATGACTTTATTCTGGTAATATTACGACTTTATTTTGGTAATATTACGACTTTATTCTCATAATATTGCAACTTGATTCTGGTTTTGCATGTTCTACTCATGCATGCGAGGGTTTTCTCCGGGTACTCCAGTTTCCTCCCATAGACCAAAAACATACGTTAGACTGCTTTAAGGCTCAGGCCTCCCTTGCAAAAGAGATCTGTGATCTCAGTGGGATTTGCCTGGTTAAAGAAAGTTTAATAAATAAATAAATAAATATTACAAATTTATTTAGGTAATTTTAGTTTATTCTTGCAATACTACAACTTTATTCACGTTATTATTTCGACTTTATTCCATAACATTGCGACTTTATTCTTGTAATATTTCAACTTTAATCTCATAATTTTATGACTTAATTCTTGTAATACTACAACTTTATGCTCATAATTTTATGACTTTTTTTCTTGTAATGTAATTTTTTTTCTTAGCGTGGCCCTAATACTCCATCGTAGAAATGAGAAACATTTAAATTTTATTTCAACACAGGTATAGTAAAGGCTGGCAAAGCATCTTAAAGTGATAAACTGATCTCTTATTGACAGTTAGGGTTTGCAGAATTCACTCAATCATCAGGTTTTGAACTCAGTTTAATAGTTTTTTATTTACTTGAAATAAATAATAAAATCAGTGAATTACATTTTGTTTCAGCTGCATTAAGGCCTTTATAAAGAGAGTATTAAAAATAAATTTTCTAAAACCTAATTTATTTAAGGCATTATTCATTTTGTAACAGCTGCAAACAAATGTTGAGACAACCAGAAAAAATAGAAATGGTGACTTTTTTTTTTTTTTTTTTTTTACCAAACCATGACTAAATTATTGACAGTAATTATGGATCAGGTGTTTGTTGAAATAAGTTTCAACAAAAACTTGTTTCCTTCCTGTTTTTGTTTCAGTCAAACCAAGTAATGTGGTGCACAGTGTCACACACACCTTTAAAATGAAGTATTGTTTAAAAAAAAAAGTTAATAAAGAATTAAACATTTCTTTCTGTTGATTAAAGTACGCAGAAGCAGGAAAGTAAAAAAAAGACAAAAGAAGCAAACATTTTATTATTTTATTAGGTTATTAAAGCGAAAACACGAACATATCATATTTTTTCAGCTTCATTGTTTGAATATTTTTAGTTTTTTCTGCCATCCTCCCTCTGACACTGTCCTTTATGAGTCCAAATACTTCTCCCACAGCTCCTCCACATTAAGAGCAACAAGTATCTGACCGTGAACAAGCGTCTGCCGGCGCTGCTTGAGAAGAACGCCATGCGGGTTTCTCTGGACCCTGCTGGGAACGAGGGCTCCTGGTTCTACATCCAACCCTTCTGGAAGCTGCGCAGCGACGGAGACAGTGTATGTTACCTCCGTCTGTTCCTCCATCACTGCTCTGCAGATGTGAAAGTACCGTAAATGAACCCTGGCATTCCTCTCGTTCTGCAGTGGACTGTCAGTTCATTGTCCCGTTCAGTAACAGTTCTGATTTTGTCCTTCTCTTCTGGCTTTAGCATCCTTTGATTGAAGGTATTGCTCTTGATTGTGCATGGTGTTTGTGCACAGAATGAAGTAGCAAAGCATGGATGCAGCACTCTCTGAAAAATAAATAATAAAAGCATGGAGACTTTCAGGTCTTGATGAAAAGTTTGAGCGAAACTTTTCTGCAGCCACAGTGTGCCTGAGTGTGGCTGCATGCTTGATGCAAGCGATGACATGCAGTAACAGGTTTTATTCATCATATTTTCATACATTCATATCCTCCAACCATGGTATGAGTGAGTCTTTTTATTCCGAACAGCTCGTTCCATGTGAAAGCCAGCATGTTTGTTACAGGATCACTCTTGTGGAAACGCACGCAGTGACATTCAATAAGCTGTTTGCATGGACACACTTCCATGCTCTGTTTAATTTCTTTGACACCTGTAGTCATAGTGTGCAGACGTCTCCTGCTTCTGTGTGACTTTTTATCTGTCATCAAGGTGGTGGTTGGAGACAGAGTGGTTCTGATGCCAGTGAATGCCGGACAGCCCCTCCATGCCAGCAACATTGAGCTTTTAGATAATGCCGGCTGCAAGGAGGTATGATGATTTCACTGACTTTCTTTGAATCACTTTGTTCCAATGCGCCATATTTCTGTTTAAAAAAATGTTTTTTTGTAGGTAAATGCAGTGAACTGTAACACCGCCTGGAAAGTCAACTTGTTCATGAAGTTCAGTGACTACAGAGATGATGTTCTGAAGGGGGTGGGTGTCCTGTTTTAAAATTTGGCCTTTTTTCCATGTATTTCAATTGCATTTTTAGACATATTAATATTGTGCATGCCGTCTTCTGTCAGGGAGATGTGGTGAGGTTGTTTCATGCTGAGCAGGAGAAGTTTCTGACCTGTGATCAGCACATGAAGAAGCAGCACGTCTTTCTCAGGACCACTCTGAGGCAGTCCGCCACCTCCGCCACCAGCTCCAAGGCCCTCTGGGAGGTTGAGGTAAAGCGCCGCCATTAAACTTTTTTTTTTTAATTTAACACATTTATGGACCATTTCCCTCAGAAAACAAAAGTAACTATTAAAATATCCTCTAACATGATGACTCGTTATATTGGTGTTATGTCAGAAAAGTACCGTACTTGCTGCCGTACACGTCACCTCGCCGTATAATTCGCATCAGTCCAAATATGTCTAATAAAGTGGAAAAAGCATAAATAAGTTGCTTCTCCATATAAGTCGCATCTATTATGCGTCACTGCTGACGCGTTGCATTTGTTATGAGTCACCGCTGACATCCTGGAAATATGGGCCGGTGTTGTGCTAAAAATCGATTAGCTGCCAAATGGCGGCTGCGGGAGCGTGCACGGAAGGACTTTAACAATAATTTAACAAGATTAACACTTAAAAACAATTATTTGTTTGCTCGAAATTATAGTAAAGATGTGTCTCAGTTTATTTCCTTAATAAATGCACTTTGATGGTCAAATCAGCTGCATTTCAAAAATCGATTCGCGGAAGCGGGAGCGCACAGAAGGAGGACTCGCTGTGCATTTCATTGAAATTTAACAAGATTAACACCTAAAAACAATTATTTATTTGCTCGACATTATAGTAAAGGTGTGTCTCAGTTGAACTTTTCCTTAATAAATGCACTTTAATGGTCAAATCAGCTGCATTTCACCTGGGTGGCGCGACGAAAAGAAGCTGATTTGACGTTTGCTCCAGGAGTTCCAGAGCGAGATGAAGGTGGCTCTGTATGGCAAGACAAGTGTCTCATTAATAGCCACTTTTACCTATTAATGAGACACTTGGCTTGCCTTATTAGGCAAGTCAATTTAAAGATACTGAGCTAAAATTTGGTGTAGCTGTAGCTGAGAGTCATCCCCAACTTATGCTGTAATTATTAATTGATAGTGT